GATTTGTATGGAAGGATTATTTCAAAACTGGATAAAATTTAATGTACTTATAGTTTTATTTGTCTAGTGTTTTACAAATACTTAGTGGTTCTTCACTAACAACTTGGAGAGAAAAAAAGTCCAAAAGTCTATGTTTTCCTTCGGTCAAACAGGTTATAGATTATAAAAGGTTTCTTGTGAATGAATTCCATGCATTCCTTGTCATTGCCTTTATGATTCTTCGCAATAAAAATATAAAATTGCTCTGCGCAAAGGGCAAAGTCAAAACCTGGTGTTCAGGATCGATTATTTAGATATCAATGGTTTCATTTACCCTCTTGAAAAGCAATTCCTTCTTCTTTCTGTTCGGTTAAACCACAGGCTAACCACTCTAATGAATGAAGGAAATACTAAATGGTGTCTTGTCTTTGTCTTTTTATGCGCGCACGCTATCGATTTTTTGTCATCTCACCTACCCCGGCACCTACCCCCCTTGGTAACAATTTTGTTTTTCTACTATACAATATACTAACAAGGTAGGCAACTTCACGGGCTTCCTGTGGAAAATTCAAACTTTGACGAGAGAAAGCCACGAATTTATCCAGATATTTTGACTTCGAAAACAAAAAAAGTATACAGAACGTCGTACTTACATCTAATCTTCAATAATTTAAAGGACTTTTGATAATAAATTCTCTATAAGGAGGGTTTTTTGGGCTTTTTTAGCGAAAACTTATGTGCCGTCAGTTATGCTTGCATCCGAGCGGGCCTGAACACGAGAAAAGGGATCCAAAACAAGTCCTCTGCCTCCCTCTCCAAGTGTTTTTGGTTCGTTACCACATGCTTCCCAACCCCACATCCCGTGAGTCTTGCATTTTACTTCCGGTTGTTTTTTTAACCAATCAAGAAGCGTCGCCTATTTTTGGCTTCGCGAAACTTTTTGTAAAGCTTTTTTATCGTAGAGTTGTCAGATCTATCTTGAAAAGCGTCTTATAGAAAAAAATAGAAATAAGATATATTGTATCAGGTTGAAAAAGGACAGAAAAAAACATTTTAAACTATTTTTCATTCACCTAAAGTGCAATGAAGTAAGTATTCTTTTATTTCTTTTCTTGTAGTAAACTTACGTAGTACACGGCTCCACAAACTTGGTGTGAACAAAGTTTATTAAAAATGGGTATTTTCTCTGCCGTTTAGGTTGACGCTAGAGCAAAAGTATTGCTTAGACCAAGCACTAGCAGGGCATAATTTTCTTATACAAGGCAAAGCGGGCACTGGTAAATCTTTTCTTATAACTGAGATTAATTTATTTGAAAGTGTAACGGCAAAAACGTTAACCTAGTGTGTTCCATTGGAATGGCTTGCGACGTCTTCAAAGCCAAAAAACTGCCATGCCTTCCTAAGACGATTCATGCAGAGAAAATACGCATTTTTAATGCAAGTAGGAAAATATTATTAATTATAAATTGGTTATCATTGGTTTGATAAATATGTATTTTTTAATAAACTTTGTC